CTTATATTCCTCTGTTTTGTCCTGGATTGGGAGACATTTCCTTCACACCACAATCACATCTTGCTCTTGGAAAAATTGTTACAAAAAGGAATTTATTTTGTGATATTTAGCCCTCAAACAAAAAGTTGGAACTTTCATCAAACCTGCTACTTAGTTTTTTGGAAATGCATTTAAAATTTCTACAAAAATGACACATTAAAAACGAAAAACATTATCAGGAAACTGATCCTGGCGTGTGAGATTTTTGGCAACGAGAAAAGCTGCAAAAACAGAAGAAAATTTGGATTCTTTCCGGTGATCCTCTCTCAGAGTTTAGTCCCTGTCCRCTCACTGAGTTCAAGGGGAGTTGTGTTGTACCCTCATGTTACAATTATAAGTAACCCCATCACATAATGTGATTTGATCATGGCAGTAAAATAACACWGAGGCTCAATGGTTCATCTTACGAACATTGTGACTAAAGCTAAAGAAGAAAAACCAATCAGAATTTTAGTGACTGACAGCAGATCAGGGAGCATTTCAGAACTGAAGAGGGAGTCCTTAAGTTTAGATCTGTTTCATGGCATTCCTTCATCAGTTTTAGTTGGCTTTTGTATATTTGCGAGTAACGTTTGTGAGAAAAGCCACAGTGCAAACAAAATATAAAGTTGTGAAAAAGGACAAGCAAATATCGCTCATGAGAAAAAGCACAGAATGTATCGAAATTCACTTCAACAGCAACGTGAACTTGCAACATCAACAAAGAATGCATCGTGTGTACAAAATCCCAAAATGCCAAAAACTAAAAAAAAAAAAGTTCTACGTCTTTGCAATTAGCTTGTTTGCATCTAAATATAAATATATATCAACGCCTAATTGCAGGATATTTTGTATTAATACATTTACATTTGTTTTCTCTCTGCTTTGGCACAGCCTAATGCCAGAGCGGATTTGAAAGCATCTAGGAGTGTAGGTGAGGCTCAATCCATGTGGCACAGTCATCATGTAGACGGTAGATCCAACCGAGATGATTCCTTGAGGAGAACTGTTGGTTTTCTGTGAAACTCGTGGTTGGCATGTTTCTTGTTGGGATTGTGTGCAGTTAGAAATCACTGGAACAAATCCTCTGTTATGAGGCAAACCCCCACCCCTCCACATTGTGCATTCTTGTCTTATCATTGTAGGAGCTCACAAAGATTCGTGGACTCCATATCCCTTGTTGAAATATTGGTAGTTCACAAACATTCATTCATTCAATGGTTGTTAAGCCTCTTCTCACTAAAACAAATCCAACGTTTGGGCTTCACAGGCCCCTTTATAATCCTTTCTCTTGGTCTTGTATCTATGTACAATATTACATCTGATCCCAATGTCCTGTGAGTTTAAGGGCCAGCTAAGCAAAACGTAGAGCCAGCAGCACCAAGGAGCAAACACAAGAAACAGTGGAGATTTACAAGGAAATGCAGAAATGGCAAAAAAAAAAAAGAAAGAAAAAAAGTGGTGTGATAGACATGGAGAACCTAAAGCACAGTGGATACAGTCAGGTGACATGGAACAATGTGTCACAGTGGTCTGCCCACCTGTCCATCCAAATTATCAAGACAAACAAGTCGGACTTTGCTTTACTAGACCAATCAGAGGAGACCGTCGCATTGATCCAGGCAGCGCAGCCGTCCGCTCACGTCACAACACATTCAGTCCAGCTGTTACTTACATCTGCCCCAACGGCAGCCGCGACTGTAGACCGAGGTCTGCGTCACGGTAGAGTTTCGATCTCTAAGAGTTTGTCGTTCCTGCTTCCTTTTCTCCAACTTAGTAGTTCACCTTGGTGACCGCCCTTTCCCGACCGCCGCCCTCGCCAAGCTGGTTGACGGAGCGCTTGCGGTTGCGCTTGAATTTGTTAAGGTCCTTGTCGAAGACCTCCCCAGAGCGTAACGCAGAGACCAGGTCGTCGAACTCTCCGCTGACCTCYTCCGAGGCTCCACCCTTTTTAACCCGCCGCTCTCGCTCCCTCTGCTCCTTCAGCTGGAGGAAAAAGGAAAGWTATCATACATTGAAGGAGTTATAAAATTTTAAATTTTTGTTTTTCTGTGTTTTTAGATGTCTCTAAGGCCTTTGATCACGTGAACTACAGAAAATGCTTCAGGAACTGTATCAAGCTGAGGAGCCTAATATATAATTAGATCTTTGTCTTGTTGATACACTAACCAGACTATGCAGGTCAAGTGGACAAACTTTATTTCTGCACCTTTCCATGTTTGTAATGGTGTTGAACAAGGAAGCATTTTATCATCAGTTCTGTTTCATTTTTGAACGAACTGTCCAAGGAGCTAAGCCTGTGCAGAACTGGCTGTATGGTTGGAGATACAGGATTTAATCACCTCAAAGATGACCAGGTGGAGTTYAGCCCAAGTTCAGATGGTCTTCAACAGCTCCTTAATGTATGTTCAGTTTATGATAATCAACATATCAAATACAGTTGTACAAAAAGTTTGTATTGATTGAATAATCATGATTGTATTAATCATGATTTRTTGAACTAAAGTAGACAAATGTACSTTGTTATCTGATTTTAAATTGCTTGCCTATATAATGTATATGGTGCAATAGAGCRTTTCAAATGAAGATAAATATCTTGGTAATTTGTTAACAGACTGATGGACAGTAAAGACATTTACCGTATGCACAAGCAAATGTACGGTTTTGAAATCTTGCACATTGTTCTGATGAAGTAAAACTGAACTTGWTTARGTCATTTTGTACCTCAAGGCACACTTATGGTGGAATTATAAAAAGTCAGACTTCAGAGACTTATAATGATGCCCTAAGACTTTTATTAAAGAAGCCCAGATGGACCAGAGCCAGTAATTTGTTTGTGTCTGCTGGTGTCAGCACATTGAAGGCTGTTTTAAGAAACTGTATATGTTTATCTGTCAACTCAATGAGTCTGATAATGGAGTCATTTTAATACTAACTAATGCTACAGATCTATATGTTATACATCTGAACTCTGGAAACACTGGTATGATTATCTACTGAAAAGAAAGGGTTGTTTTGTAGAGCAGTTTTTATTTTTTATTGTCTGTTCTTTTATATATTGTGGGCCTGTGAGTATATAAATAAAGTACATCATCATCATCATCATCATCATCATCGTCATCATCATCTGGGACGAGAGAGAATATGTAGCCAGGTGAGTTCCTCATGTCTCACCATGGCTTCCATCCGTGCCCTCCGCTCCTCTTCTTCCTTGCATCGCTGCATGTTCTCCAGGTCCTGCCGAGCTTCGCTGAACGACTGCAAGAAGGTGTCGAAAATCCCAAAGAAATCATCAGGCTGCATCCTCCCCTCGTCCTCTCCAAAGTGCTTCAGAGACTTGGAAAACTGCAAAGAACACATCTCACATTTATCCTTGGACACGAAAAGAACCGAAAACCGGCCCGCACGCCGACATTGTTACATAAACGAAAACATCCATGAATTAATCTTCTACATTTCTTGTGGCATGTTGCATACATTTTCAGTATTGGCCTGAGTTCTCAGAAACACATTCATGAGCCTGCATATTTAAGCTCCAGTGCTACGTACAATAAGTGTTCAGAAGAACTAYAGGAACACACACAGAGGAGGAGAGCGGCGGCGTGATTCGTCCACCGTATGTCCGCACCGTTCTGTCCAAGCTGTTCAGAACTCTGAGCCAACATGAGGCCTGCAGCCAAACGTTCCAACACACTCAGCTTTGTACTGCAGCACAAACACAGGCAGGATCCTCAAACACACTCCACTTTATTTCATTTAAAAGCCAGAAATTAATTCTCTGAAAACTCCAGAGTTSGGGGACTTTTTTTTTGGACTAACCGAGATTTATAGACTCAAGTGACAACTCAGTGTCTTTTTCACCCCTATTAATAAACTTTACATACATATTATAACAGGTAAGAAACATTTATATGAGGAAAAAAAGGAGATTTTGTGAATGACATTTGTCAGAACAATTACGTTTTCAGTTAAACACTTAAAGGCGTGGACTGTTCTACCTCAGCMTGGGAGTCGAGTGACAGAACATCGTATTGCTCTTGTTTATGTTTATCACAGCACAAAAACCACATACAGAAAACCAGAGTTGTGTTTTTTTTCTCTCCCCCTGATGATGCAAAACCATCCTGTCATTACAAGCCTGGTTTCCATGACCACCCCCACCATCATCCCCTCCCTCTGCCAGTAATTATGTCTCTGGTCAAATTGGTTTCCTCTGGTTCCCCCCGGGCCTGTTCTAAATGAGTAAACACTAAAACACTCCATGGAATGAAGAGTATGACTCCCATTCACCTCACACACAACAAAACAAAGCCGAGCTTTGACTCACTTTTTTTTATTACTTCATATGTAGAGAATGTGCTACTTAAAAAAAGGCTCAAGGGAAATCTGACCCTCACGTTGAAGTGTGAACAAAATACTGTGACTGTACAGAGGAGCTTGGGTTAAATGCTTCTACTGTATACAAATAAAAATTTTTCAACTTCAGCATCATTAATAAGACTCAAATGCCCATTTCTGGCAGGAGCAGATGTGGGATTTTGCACAATAAGGGGCCATAATATTCATTAACGGGCCAAGAATTTGTTCAACACTTACATAACAATTACTGTACAWGGATAAAGTATTCTCAAACACACAGCATGTGAGAAAATCCAGCCAGTTTTTAAGACTTTTTCTGCAGGATTGTTYAAATCTTTTCAAGCCTGATTCATGCTKGAWTTTCCTWTTTGACTCATTAGCACCACTAGTGTTTGGACATGGAACTACATCTGCCATCATCGCTCYTGGGTAAAAGAGTGACAGAACAGCAGAGATGTAAAGTAACTAAGTACAAATACGTTRTTACTGTACTTATGTAGAATTTTTTGGGTATCTGTACTTAACTTGAGTAATTATTTTTYAGTCTACTTTTTAYTTCTACGCCCTACATTTTCACACAGTTATCTGTACTTTCTACTCCCTACATTAAAAAAAGGCAAGAACTAAAAAGTTGTTACTTTTATTTCATTTTTGCTTGTTTTCATCCCAGATTCTTATTGTAAAAAATAAATACAATCCACATAAACTGTGCCTCCTAGATAGAGTGAATTTAATTGTGGTTGAATGAGAAGTATAAATATATAAAATTCTGATACCGTATTGGTTTGTACACAAACAAATACACACTCCAGCAGGACATAATCATTAAAAATAAAAGGACTGTACTTAAGAAGTGTTTGTATTTCTTGAATTATATTTTTGCATTTGGCTGCAGCCCTCAGATAGATTTTCATTTTGGAGAAAAGGTTTGTGCAGCCTTGATATTTGTATATAAACTGAAACATCTAAACTAATGCATCCTAAATTTAACATAAATTAATAATTTTAATACAACATAGTATTTCTGCATTTTTTGGGGGAGGTCACCTCAGGGAGGCAATCAGATTTCAGCTGGGGTCAATGTCCCTGTGGCCCCGCCCCTAGAACCACCCCAGATCTCTGGCCCCAGAATGAGGACATGCATTTGTCAGCTTCGTCCAGGAGGAACTGTCATAACAATTTGTGCAAATTTGCAAAGTTTTGAAGAAGGATCCAAACAAAAATGGTCCCAATTAAAAGGGGTTTACAGCTTCACTGAAAGCTGCAAACCCAGATCTTGTATTCTGGGTCAGAAAATATGATTAACCCTCATAAGCTATGCCGTCTCATTCGTTATGTGTGCAGTAAAGACTCACACCTCAGCTGCCATGGAGCTTTATTAGCCTCAGCAGGGCTTCTCAGGCTACTAAGTTATTCTCCACTTTCTTATGGGTGAAACACATCCCAACTTCCATGTTTGTGTTCCACCAGAACCCTTCCAGAATGTCGGAGAGCTTCGACAAGGCCTGAGTTAATGTGTAGGACTCCCCACTTCCCAACCATCCAGACATGAATTTCTGTGTTTAACGTCTGGGTCGGTGAACACAGGTTCTTTTGTTTTACTGCACTAACTGGCGCCCTATTCGTTCAGCTCATCTCCCATGACGTCTAAACTATTTTCCCTCCAATTTTCACCCCTCCTTGAACAAATAATTAGGCGGAAGGGAGGCTTTACAAGAATCCCATGAAACCTAAAGGCCCTAGCTTCTTTCTTTCACTTCGTCCRTCTTATAACGTTGATCCCTCTGACAGCAGTTTAAGACGTCAGCATTGTTAAAGCAGAGAGGACAATCCTCATCTGTGCTAATGCAACAATCCATACGATTTAGAAACATGCAGGATGCTAAATGTGAAAGGAAGCACTGAAGGCCCGCAAATTAAACAATATGTTCGCACAAATCTTTTCAGCACTGGCTTGCTCTGACAATCCCTCAGTCCCTCTGACGTCTTCAGCTGACAGGCTTCCTACCATGCATCAACACTTGAGCCAGCAGGGTTCAAAAGGCCAGTTGTTCCACTTGTAAATGGAAGGAGTGGGGATTTAAAACGCTAACTTAAAGAGACAAAGACAAAGCGAAGATGTGGGAGGGGGATTCCTGGGTAATCTTTCAACTTGGGGTTTCCCAGCCATGCTTAAGTTATCCCACCAGACTTAAAGGGATGTCCAGATGCTTCACGCTTCTCAGATTTCCTCTTTTTCTTTTTCCTCCAGCCTGTCTAACATGCAGGATTGGCAGCAAGTATATCTTTCCTTGGATGCATTAAAACCACCCACATGGCAAATGAACCTACACGATGTTGGTATTTAAAATCAGCTAAAATGACGCTGCAGTAGTGCAGCCTGTATGTGTGGGTGAGATTTTTAAAACATTGCTTTGAAACATCCTGTTCCTGCTTTCAGAAACACTCCACAAGACGTTTAATTTTAAACTTAAACAAGATAGAACTCGACGCCAACCATCGCTGATGTCCTCCGTCACCATTCAGAAGTGACCCACAGTTTTGTTTGAATCATCACAGGCCTTTGTTATTTAAATAATCTCATAAGGTAAACGAACGGACGGGGGGCTAAAGTTATCGTGTCAAACTACTATACAAAACGTGTTGAGCAGGTCTCCCTTGTGACACACAAAATTTGGTTCAGATTGGATCATATTCGTGAGAGTAGATCCAACCATTTGTCAACAGCGTGATGTGGAATTAGGGCACTCCTCCCAAAAATTGGGCTGCACTCCAATAGTGGGGTGGATTAGGATCAACCAGTGGTGGGCAGCACTAACTCAAAATTTAGTTGCGCAATTTCTAAAGCGCTAGTCAATATATTTAGGTCCGAAAGTTCTAAAGTGCATAAGCTCAAATAAACTGTTTTTCTTTAACTAACCTTTATTTTAACAGGTAAGTCAATTGAGAACCAATTCTCATTTACGATGACGACCTGGTTGAGTGACAACAGTACAACGTAAAATGTCGGAACATGTGAAARGGGCAATATTACGTAAAATCAACTTTTTTGAGTTTTATATCATGTTACACTYTCATAAAAAACATGCCCAAAGCCTTGCTTTGACTCATTCATGCATGTTTGAGAAATCCTGCAGTGTTTTTTAGGCAGCCATGCTGAGGAGCAAAACGACAGATGGGGACCAGAAACGCCCCTGGGATGTGTCTTTAAGCCGAGCTTCCTCATGACAGAGCACACCCCCTCCCCCCTCCCCACAAACCCCGCCCATGACTCCAGCAGGCTCTCGGGTGAAAGTGAAACCTAACTGTCTGCTGAGTTCTCAACATTAGTTCTCACTCAGTGAAGCTTTTTTCAGATTAAAAATAACTTTGAGGGAATGTATTTTCAGATGCCAAGTGAACTGCATCATAGCAGCCCCCCCCACACACACACACCGAAATGGGCGAGACAGAAGTGAAGGTGGTTCTTAAAGAGACAGAGGCCAATTTCAAGGCATTTAGAAGAGGAAGTGATGAGAAAACAATTTTATTTTCTATTTAAACATAAAAACAGCATTTTATTAACAGCTAAAGGTGAYGCTTTATTATGGTATAGCATTTAAATATATGACTGAGAAACACATAAAATGGCCCTTTAAAACAAGGACACAACACAGGAGTATAGTACAGTTAAACTTAGCGAAAGCTAAACATAAAGCGCAAGTTTGTCTCCATTTACCAAAAAAACATTTAGGTACGAGACAAGTCAGCACTTTTACTGCCATCTAGTGCAGTGGTGTCCAAAATCGGTCCTCAACGGCCGGTGTCCTGCATGTTTTAGGTGCTGCCCTGGTTCAACACAGCTGAAMCTAAGGAGTGCCTAATTAGTAGGCTTCTGCAGACCATGTTCAAGATAATGATGATGAAGTTTTAATGAATTACGAGGCTGCAAAACATAGTCAGTTTAGACGGTATTTTCCCTTATACTTTAGACGGAAATGACGATTAAAAATAAAACATTTGCGAATAGCGCTACTTATTTCTAAATTTAGAAAGTGCAAATCTGCACATCATTTTAAAAATTAGTAAAACTCCTAAAGGGCAAAGGAGAAATTTAGGTCTGCAATTAGTGCATTTGCGCTTTAGGGGACTAGTGCCCACCACTGGGATCAACCATGGCGAACCAGGTGCAGATTGTCTGAAATATGTGAAATTCAGAGCTAAACGTATGTCAGTGGCGTGATACTGCATTCACACACAATTCACACATTCACACAAATTTACTATGGCCGATTCTAATCCACCCCAGTACAGACTGGGGTGGATTAGAATCAGCCATAGTAAATTTGGTGCAGATTGCCTGAAATATGTGGAATTTAGAGCCAAACATGTCAACGACGTGATGTCTGACTTCGCCGCTCCACCATGACGAAGCTTTCTCACTTGCTTTCCAAGCCAAAAAAGGTCACTTCCTGTTGTTAGGGGGCGGGGCTTTGWTGATGTCATATGACTACATGGTATGGCCGGGCATGCAACATGGATGACTCCTATCAAGTTTGGTGTATTTTAGCCTTTCTATGTGAGAGTTACAGCTTTCTGAAATTGTACCAGACGGACAGACGGASAGCATTTCTATGTCGCCCCGTCTCAGTGACGGGGGACAAAAAAGTAGTTCTAATARAAAGGTTTTCACCGTAGTGTTGGAACCCAAAGTTACGTCATTCAAAGTAAGAATAGTGAAGCTCTGTGGTATTTGAGGAGCAACATGTATGACCTCAGCTGTGCTTGAGTTTTAAATGCAGAACTTTTAACAGCTACCTTGTCCTTGGCTTCGCTCAGCTGGTCCTCCAGTTCAGAGAAGCTGAATCCAGCTACAGTGATGAAGTCACCGATCACGGCCACAAACTTATCCCCACGTTCCCTCGTCCTGCTCTGTTGGTAGTGCAGCTCCTGGTGGGGCAACAAACATATTAAACACACAGACTATGGATGAGTGGTGTGAGCAAAATGCTCGATTCTGCTCTACATGCGGCGATGTTACAATGTTTTTGTGTTGAGCACAACATTGTCACGGAGCAACATGAAACATGTCACCATGCTGTCCGTCTCTGCGCTGCTCGAACACTTAATTACAGGCAGGAAAAGAACCAGCAGAAGACGAGCGTGACACAGACTCACCGCCTCGAGAGCCTTCAGTCCGCTTTTTATACTGTGCACTTCTTTTTCCAACTCTGACAAACTGAGGAAAGAAAGAGAACTTTACTTAGCGTTTGTGTTCTCACTTTTTGAAAATGAAAGACACGACTCATCACTACAGCCTTAACCACTCTGTAACCAAATATTCTTTTAAGCACAGCTGATTGAGTTTTTTTTTAAACCACATTTATCAAACACTCATTTCTTCCACAATAATTTATCAAGCACTCACTTGACTTTGGCGGCCTCTGGAACACTCCTGAGGTCCTCCTGGATGAGCAGCGTGTCTGGATAGTTCTTCTCGAAGATCATGATCAAATAGTGCAACATGGTGATTTTCCTGTCGAATCACACACACACACACACACACACACACACACAAAAAACATATGTATTGCAGGTTAAACTACTTTTCTTTGGTCAAAACTTGGATAAGCTTGTGCCGTTGTTATTTTATTTTAAAATTCATTATAGTCATTACAAAGCTAAGGCGTTTGTTGCAGGCTATATTCATATTAGAACAAATCATGTCGATACTTATGGAGGTAATTTTGTGTTTTTATTGTTCAATCAAACAAAAAAGTTTCAATTTCAATTAAAAAAAATTCAATCAAAAAAATTATAACTTCAAACAATCAAATGTGTATGCAAGAGGAAATCACTTCAGTCCGCACTAACCAATAGGGTCATGTCTTACATAGCTCCTCCTTAGGCCCTACCCTGGATGTTTATGTTGTCCGAGTTCAAAACTTTTTTGAGTTCAACCAAAAACTTAAAGCATCAACCAAAAGTTTGAGATTCAACCAATTTTTTAGTGGTTGGAATTAGTTTTTTTATTGAAAATTTTTTTAATTGAAATTACTTTTTTGTTTTATTGAATAATAAAAAAACAGAAAATTACCTCCATAAATACTAGTTTCAGATAGTTTACCAACTTATAGCATATTTTATAAGTCAATGTTAAAACTAAAATATGTTTTTCTTCTTATAACAAACTGTAATGTAGAAAATTATAATTACATTTATAAATTTGTTTGAAATATTAGTGCACTTTTCTGYTAAGCGTTGACACATGCAAGAACTGGAAACTATGTCAGCATGATTTTCCCACAATGCAAAAGCTGTGGTGATACACAGAAAAAATAAGAACTTCAAAAACAAATGACACGTGTATTAGATTATTAAAATGACTTTTTTTTGGCACACATCATTGTATGGATGTRTTGTTGACAGGGTTACCATAGCAAGACACCCACGAATAGCAACAAGGTCCTCAGGAAGTGAATGTGATAATAAAATCTAAGACATGCATCAGAAGAGATGATCACACACACACACACACACACACACACACACACACACGAGTAATAGTTTTATTCCCGCCAGCTACAGAACCTGATTCTGCCTAAAAGTCGGAACGCACGGAGGAATTGGGTCACAGCAGTGACGTAAGCGAGCCCGGCCTCTGCACGTCTCTCACTTTACATTGAGACAATTTCTGCTTGGTGGGAAATCCTGCCTCAGTAGTTGCTGTTACCATAGAAACCATGACTGTACAGAACATTTCATTAGTCCTGAAAATAAGAGAGAACTCCCACATGYTGGACTCCAACGGGCACACATCTTCATTAGTAAACTCTAAAAAAAACATTGAAACATTTAAAAGAAGTTTATTCTGGAGCAAAACTGGATAAATATTTAGCAAAAGGAACGGGAGGGTGGAAAAGCCAACATCTTGCAGCAGTTCTCTTATTTTTAAGCGTATTCTTGGATGTCTGTACGGCCATATATAACTAACACTTTTCTGTGTCTGTAAAACGGTAAAATAAGCCCCACCCCATCTGACCCACCTGTCAATGCTGGACTTTGTGTCGATAATCTTATTCAGACTGGAGACCTTGAATCCRTAGGCGTTGCCCCTCTGACCTTTATTCATGAAGTTACCAAAAGCCAGCACCACCTCCAGGACCTGAGTCAGGCGCTTGCTCCGGACCACCTCCATGGATGCGTTCAGGATGGCTGGTGGAAAACCGAAGACAGAGATTCAGCTGGGGAGATCATTCACATGTTMGACCTTTTATATTACATAACTCAGTGGAACCAGAGTGTCTTATTCAAGTCCGTTACATCACTCAAACCCTGCCGAGACACAAAAAGGAAAACCTCGGCTCGTGTTGCCCCACCCCCGAGAATTTCCTATATTTTTACATTTTTAACGTCTCGTATGAATAGCGATCAGTATTCTCCACAACAACAGGCAGCGAGGTGGGGAAACACATCACCATCTTCCAGTCATCAATAAAACAGCGAGGAGAAGGGATTATTCCAAACATCGTCTAACTCTGTCCATTTTTTTTTTACCCCTGGAGGACAAACTGTCTGGCAAAGCGCAGGTGGTTCCCCGTTTCCACAGAGGCAACCTCAGAGTGACTGTGAAAATCATTAACAAACTTCATGTTATTGTTCCAGTTCTTTCTGCTGTGATAAAGCCTGGGAACCGATCCCCTGGCTGAGCCGACGACACACCACTGTCTTTTAAGGACGTTTTGATTGAAGATGCTGGGTGGTCCGCAGAAACACGGTCTCATCTTAAATATGTGATGAAGCAACATGAATAATAAAACAGCAGGATTTTTTTTTACTATGAACATCGATTAGCAGCGCGGTTAGAGGATTTTTGGATTCAACCAGAGTTGTAAAATAACTAAGTTCAAATACTTTGTTACTGTACTTAAGTAAAAATTTTGTTTGTCTGTACTTTACTTGAGTAATTATTTTTCAGCCTACTTTTTACTTCTACTCACATTTTTACTTCTACTCCGTACATTTTTACTTTCTACTCCTTACATTTTTACTTTCTACTCCTTACATTTTTACTTTCTACTCCTTACATTTTTACTTTCTACTCCTTACATTTTTACTTTCTACTCCTTACATTTTTACTTTCTACTCCTTACATTTTTACTTTCTACTCCTTACATTTTTACTTTCTACTCCTTACATTTTTACTTTCTACTCCTTACATTTTTACTTTCTACTCCTTACATTT